CCTGAGAGTTACTTATAAAGAAAAAGCACTTAGGCTCGCTTGCTGTGCACAACCATAACATGTCCTGGAATTCTGAGTGGAGAATTTTTACACTGATTATTAATTTGGAGAAAAGTGAAAAGAAAAAAAAAAAGATTTATTTCCAGGATGAAAAACTGCCTCTGGGTAAAAAGAACAGGAAAGAAAGGCACAAAGCCAAGGCTAGCTCTACAAGAGGAGGACTGTGTGTTGTTCACTGCTCTGCTGAGAACAGTGCCTGGCATACAATGGGGTCTCAATACACATTCATTGCATGGATGGATAGACGGAAGGAAGAATGGAAGAATGGAAGGGAGGGAGGGAGGGAGGGAGGGAACCATGACTTTTCAGATGCTTTAACAACAGGATTAAGTCCATGGGGAGAAAAATCAAATGAGTAGTCTGAATTTGGAAAAACCTCAAAATAAAGATTAAATATAATTTCTTTACATTTCTTATATTACAAATGTACCTTAGAAAAGCCTGCAAAGCCCACGACAAAGTTTCTGTGACTTTCACTGGTGCATGCTCAGTATTTAATCAGGCTATTCTATAGCAGCCTGTTTCCTTAGCACCTCTTCTAGAATCCTAGGTGTGAGGTAGGGATGCAGTGCTGACAGTGAAGGCGCCCTTGCCCAGGCCCCCTGCATGAGTGGCAGGATACCCACAGCCATTTTTATCACAGTTGTGGAGTAAATCCAAGAAAACATCTTGCCAACAGCCTTGCCTTCAGGAAGCAGCGTTGTTTGAAACACACCAAATCACAGAGTTCATCTATTTGTGTGAGTTCTCCTTGTATAAAAATGTCTCTAAATGTGAAGCTTTAGGTAAGTTAATCAATGCCATTGGCATATCAGTTTCCTCATCTTTGAAAGGAACACAAAAACAGTAACTACCCTGTGTGACTGTTGTGAAGACTGGGAAAAGACATGGCACAGTGCCTGATGTACAGTAATGCCTGACAGAGCTGGTATTATTACCTCAAGGAACGCCTTATTCTTTTACTTGAAAATGAAAGAGTAGGCATTGCCTGAGATCCAAGCATTTCATCTTTGGGCGCTGGCCTAGACTCTAAGTCTGATTAGGTCCTCAAGTTCTAAGTCAACAAATGCTCTGCTACTCCCAACACTCCTTGATGTTTCAACCTTATCTTGAGAGTTCATGGATGCATAAAGTTCCAATTATGCAGTGCAGATTCAGAGATGCACCTTCTCCTTGTGTGTGAGAACTATCCCAGGCCTCCTCAGTATAAATGGTGTGATAAGTAAAAATTGTAAATGCCCAAAGTAAACAAAATAACCAAGCCTAAAAGGCTGCAATCTGGCTTGGCTGAGGGAGGAGACAGCAGGTAGTTTAAGTGTGGTACAATGGAAAGAATGCTACACTAGAGTTAAGAAAATAAGGTTCAAGGGCTAGTTTGCCACTTTTAGCCGGGTAAGCAAGTTAATTTACCTCTCCTGGCCTCAATGTCCTCTTTATAGAGTTTGGGGTACGTACTAGGTCAGTTTCTTTTTAGCTCTAAGACTCAGCAATTCCATGGAAGGGTGAAAGCCAAGAGGATGGCTGCTGGCAGGGTCGAAGTGGACATAAAGGTATAAGGTGTGTGTGTGGGGGCGGGGAACTAAAAATATGAAGGGGGGACTAAAACTATGGGTTAGTGAGTGAAGGGATTAAGTCAAACAATAAATCAAATATTACCTATGACAACGCAGACAGGGAGGAAGATAAGCTGGGCTGAGTACCTAGGAAAAGACTAATACAGGAAAATTCTAAAGGACCAATAGCTTGGAGGACTGCTTATCTTTGGACTTGCAGTACCAGCAGAAAGGACCTTTTCTTTGGGGTTTAGGGGGCTGAGATAGAAAGTGTCTGGTGACCTAAGGAAGAGGGAGTGTAGAATTCCCGAAGCAAACTTAACTTATTCTTCAGGTACTGTGTAGCTACAAACTACTCACATCAGGGATTAAAGGCTCAAGCTCTGAAGATGGGCTGCCTGGGTTCATATCATGGTTCCATTACTTAACTAGCCTTGGGACCTTGGGCAAGTGACCTAATCTCAATGTACCTCAGTGACTTTGTCTGTAAAATAGGCATAAAACAAGAACCTACCTCATAGGAATATTGTGAAGATTAGCCAATATATGGAAAGCCCTTCAAACAGGGCCTGGCATGTGGTAAGTACTAAATAAGTGTCATCTTGTCTATTTCCTGCTGCCAAGAGGGATGTTTACATGACTCAGTATAGGTCACTTCATGCTCGTCAAGAGGATTTAGGGACAGGGTTCCTGCCCAAGGCTGAAACCTAGAGAAAGAACCTCATTTCTGTTGCCTTCTGTTTCCTGGGTAGAGTCAAGAGGGAAAACTACCCGTGGTCAGGAGGAAACCTACTGCCTTTGTTGGTAGAGCCTCTGGTACATTGCCACTGCTCCTGTTGCTCTGCCATCATTCCCAAAGTGCCACTACAAGGAGCGTCAGATGTCTCCAGGGAACACTAGACAAGCCGGCCCTCAAGGAAACAAGACAGTCCAGGGCTTTCCTTTGGGAGCTGACTCTGCCACAGCATTCTCCTCTACATTCACTTTAAAGGTACTGCTAAGTAATCCGAACTGGTACCATGACATTAGGAATGACAATTTAGCTTTTTACTTTCCTGGCCCTCTTAAATCAATTCTCCCCAACATATTTCTTTTTATTCCTTATATCATGATGCATTCTTAAGCTTTTTCCCAAATGTTATGCCAATGCTGTAGCTTCATATGTCTACGGGTTCCCAGAATTATCGCACATAGGAAAATATGGGGTGTCAATATCTACATTACAAGTAAAAACAGCCCTTGAATAGAATCAAAAAACATTTAAGAGCTAAAACCACACCTTTCCAATGCCTCCTCTTTATAACTGAACTCCCAAGAACTCATTTTATTTCCATCTGCAAGGCAAATATTTATTTGGAGTGGACCAAAAAAATCAGGCTTGTTGACAAGACACTGATATTCCTTGAATTTTTAAACTCCAATTTTGAAAGTGAGCAGTCATTGCCCATTTTATTATTGGGTTGGCCAAAAAGTCTATATGGTTTTTTTCCGTAAAATAAGACACATTTTTCACTTTCACCAATAACTTGATTGATTTGGATATTTTGAGTATGTCGGCTATCTCCCATGTGGTATAATGATTGTTTTTAAGTAACGCCTCGATTTGATCACTATCAACTTTGACTGGTCTGCCCAACTGTGGAGCATCATCCAGTGACAAATCTCCAGCGCAAAAACTTGCATACCACTTTTGACATGTTTCATCAGTCACAGCACCTTCTCCATACACTGCACAAATCTTTCTTTGCATTTTAGTTATGTTTTTACCTTTCTTGAAATAATAAAGCATAATATGCCAAAAATATTGCTTATTTTCTTCTATTTTCAATATTAAAATGGCTACATAAAAAATTCATCAATTTTTTTAATGCATGCTGATATGACAGCTGTCACAGTACAACCTAACAAAATTGTTTCAAATGAAGTAAAGACTACTAAGCAAAACTACAGCCATCTTATGGAAAAAAACTAAACAAACTTTTTGACAAACCCAGTATTTCTAAACTCAACAGCCTATGAAGATTTACTTTTTGAACAGGGAAACAGAAAGTAAGTGCCATCATCAACTGGCCTTAAAAATCACTGACTTCCTCTCAGGTGCTAAAGAGCAGAAGATGCCTTTCCAGAGCCAGTGAGGGGGAGGAAAGGAGCTGGGTACGTCTGAGGAACAGCTCAGGCTGACCTCACCGAGGGTTCTCTGCCTCTTTCCTCTACGTGCTCTGAACCTTCCTGATAGGAGCTGGAAACTTCAATTTTTTTGAGCTTTGATGATGAATTTTCAACAACTTTCCCAATTAAAACAGGAAGTTATATTTGGAATTAAAAACTCTAATTAAACACAAAAAACTGACAAGGCTGACTGACTTACGATGTTCTCTTCCTCTGATTTTGATATAATTTGGGAACTCTCTCCATGATTTCCTCAAGTGTACAACAAAACTTTTCAAAGGAGCCCCAAGCCAAGTGATGATTTTTACAACTGATTAGGTCTTCGATTGAACACTGGCATTATGAGTATAAAGCTTAGCTTCAACTAGTAAATTTCTTCTGAAGATAAACAGTTATTCTGGTTCTCAAGGTTTCATGGTTACACAGAAGTTTCGCAATCCGTTTGTGATACTAATTTACACATTCCTTCACATGGGCAAATAAGGTTAAGACCACCAAAAAATTAAAATTCCCAAATAATATCCTTCTAGTCTCTCTCAAAAAAGTAAATTTCAAGCCTTACCACATGTTTCACCATTCTCAAAGGAACCTCCTCAAAGGATCTGTCAGACTAGGAATTCCTATGCTGTCACTGATGTAATGTTACCAAATTTAAATGTTTCTTAAATTCAAATTATTGGCAGAATTGTACACTTAGGAGCACTAAATAAGTACACTGTGAGACAGAGAGAAAAGACCAAATTTAAAGAGCGAGAGATACTAAGACAAAAACCTAGCCCAACAGGCTATGTACTGTTAGAGGATCTGATTAAAAGCAAGCTGAACTCAGGAGCTTTCAGCAAATCAATAGCTACTTATTAAAATATCTATTATGGATTGGGATCACAGGAAAGAAAAAAGGTAGAAAAGATACATTCAAATCATTCCTATGAATAAAAACACTCATCCCCACCACGTGTGTGTTGGAATCAAGGTTTGATTTTGGCTCCATCGGATATGTTTTTTGGGCAAGTCTCTTAATCTCTCTGAGCCTTAGTTTCTTAATGTGCAAAATGAGGAAAATAAACCAATCCCATAGAGTTTTAGTAAGGGCTGAATTAAATGATACAATATAGGAAAAGTATCTCTCATTAGATGTCTATAAATGTTATTTCCTTTCCCGTCATATACAGCATTGTCAAGAAGGCTGTATCTCGTAAGTAGTAATGCAGCATCTACCTGGAAAGGATCTGTATTCGTCACGACCATGCAGAGGAACTCCTTTATTCTCTGACATATACTTCTTGGCAATGGGCAAGGACATTAGCCGGATGTGGTGGATGAGTGTGCGCCAGGTGTGAGCTCCAGAAAGCACTGGTTCAGGTGGTGATGGGCTGAAAGGTTGAATCACAAGGTAGGCAGTGAGCAAGATTAATCCCAAGGTTCCGATGACCTACAGGGAAAGACAGGAAAACGATTAGTGCTTGCCCCAGGATAAAACAAAGTACTTTAATGCCAATAAAAGAACAGGCCCCTTCTGCTATTTCCAATGTGCTTTATGAACTAACCCATTTCTTAAGCAAGCCATTTATATTCACTTCTGAAAGCATTTAAAGTTTGAGAACCATTAGGACTACAAGGCTCACCAAGCTTCTATCATATAACTGGGCAGTAAGTACACCATTAAAAATATACCCAAATAGAGTTTAACTATAAATACACAGCTTTCATCTAGGACATTGAACAAAATAGTCAAATTTCCTAGTAATACACGGTAACAAGAGTGAAGGTCAACTTATTCATAGAAAAACCAAGGTTCTATGGTGGAATCAGTCATAATATTTGTGGAGAAAGTTGAGGAATTTGTGCTCCATCTAAGTTTTTCCAAGTCAGAACACATTTTTACCTTACACACAGCTATAAGGAGAGGATACTGGGGTGGCCCCCTCTGAGGTTCATTCTTTTCCAGCAGCTGTCTGACAAATTTTTCAATTGCCTTCTCTGACATGCCACATTGATGGCCTGTCTGTCTCACAAAATCAACAGTCTCTGCAAGTTTGTCATAAATGCTGATCTCATTAGCAGCAAGATCCATGTCTTCCAAAGAAAAATCCCTGAGAGAGAGAAAACAAATGTGAAAAGAAAGATGGCTTCTTTAAAGTACTTTCTTCTCAAAGCTACTTGCTTTCAAACAGTGCTTCTTGACCATTCATGTGCAAGAGGTTCTGTGCTTTCCCCAATCCACTGCAGGCCAATACTTTTATAAAACACAATGAATACGTACGACAATGTCTGCTACACAAGTTTTTAAGTGTGACTTAAGTGTAGGCTAGCAACAAATGGTTTACAGACCAGCGCTGGGTCCCAAACACTTTGAGGCACACTGGCCTAGAGCATCATAAATCTCTAACAGGACCGTGATTCACTAGTGCCATTGCAAATAATTTCTGAAACTTATCATGAAAGATCTTCTATGGGTAATTTACTAAAATAAAAAGAAACAGAATACAGAGAATGTTGTTGATCAATCCCACCCCCCCACACACACACACTTATACCAGAGAGACCGGTGAAACAAAAAAATTTAACTTCCAAGGCTTAAAGTCTTTTTGTAAGTAAGGTTTTATTGAGACAAAAATGCCAGCCAAAAAACAAGACCGGTCTTGGGGCAAGGAGTTTAAACTACCAGCAGCATGGCTAGGTAGAAAAGACAACATGTCTATCATCCCAGAGTTCTGCAAGCGTTTTTATACATCAGGCAAGGGGGAAGAAAGAAAAAAAGACCTGACACTGGCTGTGGGTGAAGGGATGGGAGAACAGGAAGTGGGGCCAACTCTGGGACAGGGGCAGAGCCCACATAAAGAAATGTCCTGTAGACTGGCCACGGCAGCAGTCCGAAAACGACAAGCGGAGGCCCCTGGAGTTTCAGGGTGCCTGACTAAAATCATCTGTGCTCATAGCCACCAGGAAATTAATCGAAATTCCAACAGGCACTGGAAAAAATGTGAACAGTCTTTTGCTAGCTGACCCCCAGGAATTAACAGACTAGCAATTCTGCTCTTTCACTGTCTGGCCTGGGCCGCTGTAATTTAGTTTAGAACATCTCAGAATTTTCTCATCAGAACTTTTAGCAACACAAGAGGAGGAATGGATCACTGAAGGCAAGGTGTGAGGAACATGCTGATTCGCTTTGTTCTTGGCAGAACAAAGATTTCAAGCAACACAAAAACCACGGCATGGGAGATCTTCAGGCCTTGTAGGCTGCAGTCTTCATGCTTTTCCGCAAATACAATTTTAAACAATAAAGGGCATTTCATTTGTATTTTACATACTGAAAAGACCAAAGATCTATAACTAATTTCAAGATCCAATTCCTTCTCATAGTTATTTTAAAGACAAATAGTTTCAAGGTGGCTATAGAATCAAAGGTAAAATGGCAAGAATTCTCTCGATATCATATGTAAAATGAACTTAGTTCTTTTTAAAAAGTGCCTTTGTTACAGAATATTATTTTTCTTCATTTATAGTAGGAAAAACAGTATTTGGGACTTACGCTCTCTTCTCTCTCTTTTATTTTTAAATGCAGAAAGTCCTATTATTTCACATACTTCATCCCCAAAGTACTTCTAATCTCAAAAACCACTGACATGTTAAAACTATTTTTCAGTGAGGAGATGCTGCCAGCTGTAGAGCAGAGGAAAACAGTCATGTAGGTCTGGCAGAGACAAGGAGGCCTGAAATGCCACAAGCCAGCATACTTCAGCATCTCTCTCTCACAACAGCACCTCCTAATGACGCCTGTTTGGTCCTCTTTGTGACTATAAACCTTAGAGCTCACTAGTTCTGAAGCATGCCTCCACTTTAGAATCACCTAGAGAGCTTTTAATGAATGCGATTAAATCAGACTCAGCCTTCTAATGTCAGGTCATCTAGACTTTGAGGAACTGAGGGAGGGAAGGAGGAACACCACACACTCAAGGGGATACATCCTTTCCCCAAGCTCTGTCCTTAAAGTTAGTGTCATTAAAAAACCACATGTTATATGACTGCATTTATATAAAAAGTGAAAAATAAGCATATCTTTAGGGACAAAAAGTACAGTAATTAGTGGTTGTCTAGAGGAGAGGGTGGGGAGGAATGGGAAATAACTGTTAATAGCTACAGGGTTTCTTTCTAGAGTGACAAAAATGTTCCAAACTTAAATTGTGGTGATGGTTGCACAACTTTGTGAATATACTAAAAAAACACTGAATTGTGCTTTTTATTTTTTTTAGAGAATTTTCATAAGTTTATTTGAGCCAAAAAGACAACACCTTCTGGGGGAGAAGGATCTCAAATGCTCTAAATTGTGCATTTTAAGTGGGTGAATTTTTTGGCATATAGATTACACCTCAATAAAGACTTCTTTAAATGTGTATTTATATAATTTAAACTTACCCCTGTTGTGGCATTTATTATAATACATTGTTGTGATTCTGCTAAGTTATTTGGTCTATTTCTTCAACCCCAAAATCAGACGATTGAACCAGAAGGTTTTGAAGTCTTCTAGCTCTAAAGTTTTAACAGTCTATGGACACTTCAGCAAGTAGAACAAAGTCAATTCATTAGAAACTAAAGGCTTATGTCCAGTTGCATTTCTATATTATCATTTTCAGTTATGCCATCCTGCGTGTCATGTACTGTGCTAAGCTCTCTAGAAACATTATCTCAGTGAATTCATTACAGCAATCTCATAAAGTAGGTGTGATTAATCCCATTTCACAGACGCTGAAACTAAGGCTCAGAAAGGTTTCATTACTCCCCAGGACGTGAACCCAAGTGTGAATTCAGGGTTGGTGCTTTTAACCTGTATACATGCTGACTTCCTTACCAAGTATTTTCCTATTCTGAGCTGGCAGTTCTGAAACCACAATGCAGTGTCCCTTGATTATCACAACTGAGCGGCTGAGAACTGGAAAGTTACCAACTACAGTGATTTCTGGAAAAAGAATAAAGTGATTAACTTATTACAACAGTTTTCACATCTTGGTTTTGTGACTAATGATTCCAGAGATAGATTTTTTCCTATTAAATTAACAAATATATTCTAAGCAAGCAAGCAGGAATAATGTTCATTTAAGTACACTACAATAAATTATCCAACAATACCCAGTCAAAATCCATTAAAACCCAGTAGAGGAACAGAAGAGAGCAGAGGGGATTGTAGAAAAAAAATCCAGTAAAATTTTTGAAATTGGGCAGTGGGCCACATATATCGCCGAGGCAGAGGAGAACACCAGCACAGTGCTGGTGAGGCTAAAAGGAGGAGCACCTATCATTTTTTTTTTGGATGACTGTTTTAATTAAAACTTCTGTAAACCTCTACCCACTTTTGATACACATAAAAATCTCATTAAACTCCTAGTTTAAATTCCAAAAACAACAGTTTCTTTTTTTATAATCCAAGTATACAATGACATTATGATACTGAATATATTTTTGCAAGCTGTGCATCCTTCTTCCCTGATATTCTAACATTCCCAAGTTATTAGAAAGGTAGCAACTGATAATTTAGTGAAATTTCTAAGAGCACGCGGGGGTCTTGATAATAAGCCCTCCTTTTGCCTTTAATAAGGTCAGTGGTTCTCAACAAGGGGCAATTCTGTCCCCCAGGAACCTTTGGAAAGTCTGCAGACATTTTTGACTGTAATACTTGAGGGGCACTACTGGCACCTAGTGGATACGATGTTAAACAACAAAAATCTTGTCCCCCTAGGTTGGTTTCATACTACCAGGGCAGCTCCCTCCCTGCGATCTAGTGAAAGTCAGCCCTCAGACAGAAGAATTTGTATAAAAATAAAATCATGTCCTTTAAAAAAAAAATCAAACATAAAGTCATGGCTAAGCATCAGGTATGTGGGGACTGAGTGAAATCAGCTGAGGCTTGTTGCAATCCTTTTGCCTCCAGAAAGCAGGTCCAACTCCGGCAGAAATGAGCTTTGCCACAGAGGGAAGTTCTGAGAGTGAGTTTGACTCTTAACAGTGGCTTATACCTGCAAGGGTATAGGGAGGACCACTAGCAGCATTACAAAAATCAGGGTACATGTATGCACCACCCTGGACATGTTGAACTGTCAGAACCGCTGGGAGAAGGTTCAAATCTCTTCCCCGCTCACCAGAGGAACACCTCCAACTAGGAGACACTGCTTTAGCACAGTTTTCAAATAGGGGTGATTCTGCTCCCCAGGGAAGATTTGGTAATATCTTAGGATATTTCTGATTGTCAAAACTGAGGGGGTACTACTGGCATCTAGTGGGTAAAGACTAAACATTCTACAATGCACAGGACAGACCCCACAACAAAGAACTGTCCTGCTCAAAAGGCTAAAAGAGTGCTGAGACAGCTAAGTCCTGGTTTCAAGAGAGGCCTGGAAGGGGGGAGGGGGTGTAAGCCAGGGGGCTGTGCACTTTTGAAGGGGTACTTCAAAAGTAAGAGGGAGAAACTGAGAGCTCTAAGGAAATGTTCTCCACAGTTCCTTCTGGGTCTAAATCTAGGAAAAAAACAGAACAAAGGTGTAATAGAATGACTCTAATAAAACTTGACAATAAAAATGTCCAGTCAGAAACAGGTTAAGAGGTCAGAATAAATGTAAACTTCTCTGCCCTCTTTAATATAGAATTCCTCTAGTGATATAAATATGTCCTAAATGCTGATACAACAAAAGTCTGTAGGTTCTCAGCTTCCCAAACTAAACAGCTACACCAGCTCAGCAATGCTGATTCATCTAGATAAAACGTGAAAGGGGAAACACGATAGTTGAGAAATAAAGTTTCAAAAGCCCATCTAAATATGTCCCAATCTTCAACAATGGGAGCAATATCCATAGAAATATTAAATTTTGTTTTTCTACTACTAGGTTCTTTAGTATTATGCTACCTATGTAGTATAATAACCCATTCTTTAGTGTTATAATATATTCCATTATACTTTGTCCAATGATTACCATTAATTGAAGATAGAGTCTACTATGGGGAGGAAAATGTGGTCTTTGGGTTATAATAAAAACCACTAAGAAATAACAGACATATTTAAAGAAAAAAATTGATAAAACATAGCTTAAAAGAGTGGCAATTT